CTCACCCCCAGGCCGCCTCCCCCTCCCGGCCGCGGCCCCGCGCCCCCTCTGGAGCCCGGGCGCAGGCACCGAGGCGGGACTTGGGTCGAGGCTCAGACTCCGGCTTTTAATCTCCGCGAAGTTGAGCCGCTCCGCAGGCTCGCCCCACCCCCGCCCCCAATATGGAAATGTATAGAGATAGCTCTGGTCTCTGTTGGAGAGGGGGAACCCCCAACCGGCCTTCTTGGCACTCTGCTTCTTACAGTGGGGGCTCACGGCACTCCGGGGCCTGCGGGTGAGAGGAGAGAGCCAGGGTGGACTCTGGGCTCCTGGGACTCCCCCGGGGCCCCAGGTCTAAGGCAGGTCTCCAGGGTCTCAGGGTACCTGGCCACGCTGGGCTCCTCTGGACAGCTCGCTGACTGAGGTCAAGTTCCCTGCATTCTGCTATTGAAAGTGCTGGGGATGCAGCCCGCTGTAGGGAGGAAACAAGCCAGAGAGGGCTTGGGGGACTGGCAGAGACAGATGGGTGCTCCTGCAAGGGTCAGGAACACGGGACTCTGTGCCGCGGAGGGCAAGCTTTGCTGTGTGTCTTACTCCCTGATTTTGTTTCTTTTTGAGTCAGAGTCTCTCTCTGTCACTCAGGCTGGAGGGTAGTGGCACGCTCACAGTCACCCCAGCCTCGACCTGCTGGGCTCAGATGATCCTTCCGCCTCAGCCTTCCAAGTAGCTGCAACTACAGGCGTGTGCCTCCACACCCCGCTAACTTTTTGATTTATTGTAGAGACGAGGTCTCGCCAAGTTGCCCAGGCTGGTCTTGAACCTGAGGGCTCAGGCAATCCACTCGCCTCACCCTCCCAAAGTGCTGGGATGACAGGCTGAGCCACCAAGCCCAGCCCACTGTCGCCATTCTAAAGTGTGCCCCTTAAAGTGGTATGTGGTATACGCCCAGTGTTGTGTAGCCACCACCGCTCTCCAGATCCAGGACATTTGCACCACCCCCCAAAGAAGCTCCCTGCCTATCAGCCGTCTCTCCCCAGCCCCGTCCACTCTCTGTCACCACCATTCACCTGTGTGGGACATTTCCAAGACACGGAAGCCTGTGGGCTGTGGCCCTCTGTGTCTGGCTCCTCTCATGGCATTGTGGTTTTTAGGTTCATCTCTGTTGCAAGTCTCCACGCTTTGCTCCCCTCAACCTACTCCCATCAGGACTTTGTCCCCCAGCCACCTCCACAGGCATGAGTCCGGGGGTCTCAGCCCAGCCTCCACCTCCCTTCGCTCAAACCCCGGCATCTGACACACTGCCCCCTTGCCCTCCTCATCACCACCTCTTGCTGTCCTGTCCTGCTTTCCCTGACTGTGTCTCCTCTTTGTCTCAGCACCTCAGACTTCATCTCTCCTCCGGCTCTAACCCCTTGCTGGTGACACCCAGCAAAGTCCACTCAAGCCTCACAACTTGAAGGAGCCTGTCTTCACGCCAGTGGTTCCCCAGGTCACGTCCCCAGAGCTCCAGGCAGGCAACTGCCTGCCCCTCACCTTCCCCAGACATCTAGGAATCAAGACACCTCCTGGAATCCTTCCTCACTGCACTCCTGCGGCGTCTTCTGTGTCTCTCGGACCCAAGTCCTGCCAGCTGTGCTCAATGTCAGCCTTCCTCTCACATCTCATGCCCAGTGTGTGTTGCGATCCACTGGCTCATGCCTCCACCACTTCTCATCACCTCCCTCGGGTCCAAGCCACCATCACCTCCTACCTGGTTATGGCTTCTACCCTTCCCCCTCTGCATTCTCTACAGCCCTGCCAGAGAGAATCCATCCAGACATAAATCACTTCCACCATTGTTCTGCACCAAACCCTCCAGCTCACTCAGAGTCAAAGCCAAGGCCTTAAAATTGTCTACAGGTCATGCTCGGTGGCTCAGCCTGTCATCCCAGCACTTTGGGCCGCCGAGGCGAGTGGATTGGCTGAGGCTGTGGGTTTGAGATCAGCTCGGGCAACTTGGTGAGACTTCATCTCCACAATACATAAAAAATTTGCCGGGCATGGTAGCTTGTGCCTGTCATTCTGGTTACTCAGAAGGCTGAGGCGGAAGGATTGCTAGAGCCCAGCGGGTCAACGCTGGGGAAACCGTGAGTGTGCCACTGCACTCCAGTCTGGGCGACAGAGTGAGACTTCAACTCAAAAAAAAATTGTCTGCAAAGTCCTATATGATGGGGGCTCCCCTGTTACTCTTCTGACTGTATTTCTTACCCCAGAATCCCCCAGAGCTTACTCTTGGTCCAGTACATCATACACACTCCTGCCTCAGGGACTTTGCAGTGGCTGTTCCGTCCGCAAGGACCCTTTCCCCCAGGTGTCCTCATGGCTTTCTCCCTCTCCTCCTCTAGGTCTTTATACAAATGCTCCCAGCTCAATGAGCCTCCCTCTACCACCGGTGCTGTGGCGGGGTCCTTCCTGTGCATTGCAGGATGTTGAGCAGAAACCCTGGTCTCCACCCCCTAGAAGCCAGGGATATATCCCACTACTGCCATCTCTGTTGTTGGATGCTCTATTTCCCTGCCTATAATAATGCCTAGCACATAATCGATAATCACTATACTGTATACATATATGCATATATATATTTACTATATATCAATATCTATCTATCTATCTATCTAGGGTCTCACTCTGTTGCTCAGGCTGGAGTGCAAGTGGCATGATCATGGCTCACTGCAGCCTCCACTTCCTGGGCTCAGGCAATCCTTCTGCCTCAGCCTCCCAAATAGCTGGGACTACAGGCGTGTGCCACCACATCCAGTAAATTTTTTGATTTTTTTGTAGACAAGAGGTCTCGTGATATCACCTAGGCTGGTCTCCAAGTCCTGGACTCAAGTGAGCCTCCCACCTCAGCCTCCCAAAGTGCTAGAATTATAGGCGTGAGCCACTGCACCCGGCTGATCATCACGGTGTACTGAGTACATGAAACAAAGTGACATGTGGGAACGATCACGTCTGCGTCACAGATAACAGCGCTCCCTAGACATCCGCTAATTCCCAATACCTGGGCGGAGGATTAAAGATGCCTGACTCCTTCGTCTTCTCTGCCTTGGTGCCCGAGTCCCTCCTACCCTCCATGTCTAAGAGCACAGGCTCCGCCGTCCTCCTGGTCTGCTGGAGCATTCTGACTGTGGCCTCCATCTTTGAGATGGGGCTCTCTGAGTGGGGCGTTGGTGGCAAGTCCTCCCACTGTGAGGCAGGCAGGGGGATGGGCGCCTGGGAAGCAAGCTCCATCTTGGGGCTGCCTGGGGTGGGCTTGGAGCGGAGATGCCCCTTGGATGGCCCTGCTGGGCCCTGGGGTGGCTCCTTCCCCTGCGTCCATTGCTGCACGTCTTCCTTCACCCAAGTGTGTGGCTCTGGCTGCTCCCTGACCACCACCGGTGTCCCTGCCAGCGAGGACAGCCGGCTGGGGCCGAAGGGCACTGAGGCCATTGCAGACACAGCGGACGTCTGGGATGTCACCGAGAGCCAGGAGGGCAGTGAGACCCAGGTGGGCTTCAAGCGCGGCCCCTTGGAGTTGGCCGTGATCACCAGCTTGGCAAAGGCGAGCCCCTCCGCTGTGAAGGGTCTGCCATGCTCCTGGGGGGCCTCGACGGTCAGTCCCTGCGACTTCACCCAGGTCTTCTGCTGTTCCGCCACCTTTGACCTCATGCCAGGCAGGTCCAGGGTCGTCTCCTCCTTGGCCCGGCGGGCCCTATCCTCCACCTTGCCCTGGCCCCTCCAGCCCCTCAGGGTCACCTCCCGGGTCTTGCTGATCAGGACGTCCTCCGACTCCTTCTTGGTCGTGGAGAAGGGCAGCTCCAGGGACAGCGCCTGGGTCCTTGTCTTGACCGTCTTAGTCTCCTGGGTGCCCACCATCACCTCCCGCTTGGGCCTCCCTGCATCTCTCCCAGGAATTCTCCCCGGCAACATGTGAACACTGGCAGGGTGCTTCCCTGGGGAGGTGGGTGAGCTGAGCGCCATCTTCTGTTGGATGGGTGAGCTCGGAACCTTCTGGGATGTGGCAGGGATGTCCCTCTTTGGGACAGGGAGGGACATGACCTTCTGGGGAAGAGTGGGTGCAGGCAGGGTCTTCTTCGATGGGGGCAGGACCTTCTGGAGTGGGGCAGATGCAGCTAGGGCCTTCCGGGATGGGCCAGGTGTGGGTGGGGCCTTCTGGGAAATAGCTGAGACAGCTTGGGTCTTCTGGGATGTGCCCGTTTGGGCTGGGGCCTTCTGGGGAACAGCTGACACAGGTGGGACCTTCTGGGATGGCCCAGGAACAGCGGAGGGCTTTCCAGATGGAGCAGCCACAGCTGGGACCTTCTGGGATCGGTCAACAATGAATGGCGCCCTGCACAGTGTGGCAGGAAAAAATGGGGTCTTCTGGCAGGGTGGCAGCCATGGCCTCTGCTGGGATCCCACGGGCCTGTTCGTCTCCCCAGCCCTGGAGAGGTAAGTGGCAGGAGGATAGGGAGCCAGGTCAAAGGAAGCAGAGGACAGAGTGCTGGACTCAAGGTCCATAAGGTCGTCGATGTCCTGGTGCCACAGGTACGGGTCCAGGTGATCACAGAAGCTCGGAAAGAAGCCAGGGCGGGGTGGGGTCTCTGCCATCCGTCCCCGGCCTGAGGCTTCATCGGAGTCTGATGTGCAGGCCTGTGGGTGGAAGGGAAGGGGTGGGATGCATGATCAAGGCCAGGGAGACCCCAGACCCAGCGGTCAGGTCCTAGTCCTTCCTCCCTCAGACCCGGGAGTTCAGGCCCTCAGCCCCTCCTCCCTCAGACACAGGAGTTCAGGCTCCAAGCCCCCTTCTCTGTTAGACACAGGAGTCCAAGCCCCAGCCCCTCCTCCCTCAGACCAGGAGTCCAGATCCCCAGTCCTACTCCCTCAGACCCAGGAGTCCAGGCCCCCACCCCTTCTCCCTCAGACCCAGGGGTCCAATGCCCCAGCCCCTCCACCCTCAGACCCAGGAGTCCAGGCCCCCAGTCCCTCTTCCCTCAGACCTAAGAATCCAGCCCCTCCTCCCTCAGGCCCAGGAGTCCAGCCCAGCCTCTCAAGTCCAGCCCAGCACCTCCTCCCTCAGGCCAGGGGTCCAAGTCCTCACCCTCCTCCATCTGACCCAAGAGGCCAGGCCCCCAGCCCTCCTCCCCCAGACCCAGGAGACCGGGCCCCCAGACCCCTCTTCCCTGGGAGTGGACTCCTGGGAGCCCAACCCAGCCCCTCCTCCCTCAGATCCAGGGGTCCAGCCCACTCCCTCCTCCCTCAGGCCGGGGAGCCTGGCCCCCGCGGCATGTGGCTGGCCTGTAAAGAGGATTGTGTCTGGTTGGCGGTGCTGGAGACGATGCTGTAGATGGTCTTGATGGTGATACTGCCCTTCCCTGGAGGAGGAGGCAGTCTGAGCCCTCGGGCCAAGGCCCAGGGCCGAGGGGGGCTGCGTGGTGCCCAGGGGGCTGGTCTTACCAGGGATGCGGACTTGGGTGTCAGACCCACCGGGGCTGGGGTCCGGGTGGGACCTGCAGCAGCAACAGCAAGGGCCTTGGTGGTGCCCGACCAGAGCGGCCACCCGCCTCCCACCCTCCACCACGGGCCCTCAGGTTTACTTCTTTTCCAGGGCTTTGCTCCTCACGTCCGTGTGCTCCAGCTCTGACCAAATGAGGGGCACAGAGTCACCCACCGCCTGTGACTTGAACCTGCGCTTGTGGGCCTGTGGGGGCAAGGGCCGGCATGAGGGAGGGGAGGTCCTCGGGCACTTGCCCCACCCACCCGCCGGCTCACCTTGGCCTTCCTCTGTCTCTGGGCTGTCCACATCTTGTAAGGGAAGCTGGGCTTGGACACCGGGACTGGGAGAGGAGGCAGTGGCTGGGTCAGGCCCCAAGGGCAGGACACCAGGATAGGCCCTGAGGAGGAGGGCTCCACGGGGAGTGGGCTGGCCCCAGTGCTGGGGCTCTGTCCACGCCAGGTGGGGAAGCTGACACGGAGGAGGGCCAGGAGGAGGTGGGGTTGCTCACCTGCATGTCTGTGGAGGGCTGGGTCCTGTGGAGAGGGGGGCGTCAGGGGCACCCGGGACTCGCTGGTCTCCACATCTCCACTCCCCACCCAGCTGGCCACCTATGCTCCCAGGAGTCCAGACCCCTGCCCCTCCTCCCTCAGACCCAGGAGTCTAGACCCCTGCCCCTCCTCCCTCAGACCCAGGAGTCCAGACCCCAAGTCCTTCCTCCCTCAGACCCGGGGGTTCAGCCTCAACTCCTCCTCACTCAGACCCAGGAGTCCAGGCCCCCAGCCCTGTTCCCTCAGTGACCCTGGACTGCGGGCCGTGGGTCCCAGTTGACCTAGACAGTGCCTTTTCAGGGCCTGCCACTCTGGTCTGTGGACCTGGGGCCCCACCTGCAGGTGCCAGGTGGAGGCAGGTGCTTTGTCCAGGGACAGGTCCAGGGGCGGTGTGTGCAGGGTCCGGGGGGCCCAGGTGGCGGCAGGCTCCTGGAGCAGGTTGATAAGGTGGATCCAGCGATCAAACAGGAAGCCCGCCTCACCCTCGGGGGCGTCCAGGGCCAAGTAGTAGTAGCGGCCACTGACCAGGCGCAGCTTCAGGCGCCAGGTGGAGAGGTCATGGACATACAGACGGACGAGGTCCAGGGGGATCATCCTGGGAGAGGGAGACCCAGTGGCTAGAGGTGGGGATAGGGCAGGGTGGGGGGGCAGGGGCGGGGGGGGG